GCAGTAAGGCTGAAGATATCCTAAAAGGAGATCTCTTTTTACGTATGTTCTGCCATATCTTCGCCAATTCAGAACTGATTTTGATAATTCTTTTTGCAACCAATTGGACGTTCTCCCATATAGATCGTATATCAATTTATGATACAGTTAAAGTATAGCTGTTGTTTGTACAACAAAATCTAAAATTGTGTTTGAAGTATCTAGATGTGCTACAAATATAAAAGGTATGTTTAAAATAATTAGAAAATAATTTAATTAGCGTAATCAAAATCATACAATTACTCTCACGGAAAAACTTATAGAACCACTATACCACTTTTATAAGTCGAACAAGCGTAGATCCTGTTTCTAGTTGTGTAGAAGAGTTATAATACTCTGTCGTTATCACTTCGAAATGTGGCTTGAATTATTGACGTGCGGTAATTAATCATATCATCGTACACATATCATTTGGTTAACATCAATTTTAAATTAATTTTGCTTCATTAGTGTTATGTGAACAATGACGATATATTTATATCACTTGATATAGGAATATGCGTCAACAGTAATTTTGAAATCAATTTAAGGATAAACCGAAACAATTATATAAATATCCTTTGAAAAAAGTTATTATACATAAAAACGCAGTATAACGTATTTAATTGCACATTTCACCAATTAATCGTGAATCCAGTGGGAAACTTTGTACAAAAGTCTATCCCATTTGTGTTTCCGGCGCCAGCAGCTTGCATTGTTGCGTTTTAGCTTAAATATGAAATTACATGATATGGAGGTATATCAACTTAATCACTAGGTATATGTAGTAACTTATCTTTGTATAATATAGTAGATCATATATATTTTAAGGTCACAATCTTGACCACATCGTGGTCATAGGAGGATTGCGACTCATGTCGAGACGTCGGCAATAAAAATCAGGTATATAGGTACTATTTATCTGTAATCGTCTCGCATTAAACCCTAATTGCAAATGTAAAGTATATGAAAACAACACGAAAATTTAAAATGAACTATATGTAAATATATTTGTTTTTTATTCAATATGAATATGTATGTGTATCAATTAATACTACGAGTAGTACCGTATTGGAATATTTTGTCACTTGACTAAGTTTGATTGAGAATTAGCTGCTTTTAGCATTAAATTCGCTTTATACAAATTTTATAAATAAACACATGTTAGGTATAGATATTTAAATAAAATCTTCAGGTACATTATTTTGTAGTTAATTATATTATTTTGTCATTAATATTATGAATATTAAATATACAAAAAGAAAGAACTTAATAAACAATTTACCAATTTATTATTCATTTGTCTACAAATAAAATAAGTCGTATTACAGGCAAAACAAATTCTTTTGTTTTGTATCTTCACTGTAATTGTATTGGAAATTGGAAAAAAAAACAACAGAAACGCGTTGTGTTAGCTCTTTAACTAAGTAAGAAAGTTTATTGGAGAAAGTAGTGAAATACATTGAATAATAATGACCAGTTTACGAATAATACAAATTATATTGTTTTATAACTATTACATGTGTGCTGTTCATAAAATTTTTTTACGCAACTTAAAATGGCAAACAAGTTGACGGTCCACCTGATGGAAAGTGGTAACCGTCGCCTATAGACATGAGACATAACAGAGTATACTGTTTCACCCACGATACCCCACTTGCGTTGCCATTCCTCAGGACTCAGGTGTTATTCCTCTATACCTTGTAAATTCACTGCCATATCTCACCCTTCAAATCAAAATGCAACCATGCAAACCCAACTGCTTCACGGTAGAAACACGAATGGGACGAAGGTGTCCAAGCAAACGACTTTTGTACAAAGTCTCCCTCTGTTGAAACTAATTCATAGAGAAAATTAATTAATATATATATTTATACAACCGTGTCTTTGTTTCTATAATTAGTAATTAGAGAATAATGGTATTGATTGTACAGATACTCATGTATTTATGTAATATTTTAATAAAAATAGATTTCAGACTTTAATGGTCTAGAGATGGGCAAAAGCGTCCCTCTTAAAATATCATCAAAGCCTAACTGCGGGTGCGAAACTACCTGCCAAGCATGGCAACTGCTGATAAAACTCCTCTTATGGGAAGGTCTATGTTCAGCAGTGGATATGTTCACTCGAATGAACTAATGGCTAAAGTCTAGCTGATTAATAAAATATAAATTATATGTTTTTTAACAAATATAGACATTAACTTAGACACCTTAATTTTTTTTTCTAACAGTAAATAAAAAAAATATCTTAATGTAGTGGACATTTTCTTTTACCCTTGCACCCTCCGTCGGCATCCATGAATATTTATATATCTAATACAAAAACAAACTTCAGTCGTTTAAATGTTATCAACATTAAATAAAATAACAAAACAGCTTAGAAAAAAATTAAAGTCCGTTGACCGTTATTCATTAAACTCATAATCCAATTTGAACAATTTTGAGTGGGTGCTTTGTTCATTTCTGAAAAGGAACTTAATTGCTTGTTGGAATCTTATGTGTACAATTTTAAAATTATCTTTAAATTGTTTATAAATTAATTTTTTGCCTGCTACTTTGTACATATGGATTTCAGAATTAAAAAAAAAAGAATGATATAGCCCACATGTAGATGATGTATCACGATTAAAACATAAACTGTTTTTTTATATAGATCTTCAGGAACACAACTGTGAAAACCACATCTAATTAGGTGCAGTAGTTTTTATGTGATCTCAGAACAACCATACAGACAAGCAGGTAAACAAAATTTCTAAAAAATTATATGTATTGATTTCTATTGGTCTTATATTTTTTTTAATCTCTCATATATCTCGTCTAGTACAAATAAATTTTTTGTAATCGTTGATGGTATACAAACTTTACGATTACCATATATATGACGATGTAACATAATTATTTCAGCCATTAACTGTCCACTGCTGAACATAAGCCTTCCCCATAAGGGAAGTTATGCCAGTAGTTGCGACGCTTAGCAGGCGGGTTGGTAACCGCAATTAGGCTTTAACAGATGTTTTAAGAGAGACGCTGTTGCCCATCCCTCAACTATAAGCTCCCTTAGTCGCCTCTTACGACACCTATGGGAATGGAAGCGGTGGTCCATTCTATGCCGGGACCTAGATGGCATAACATAATATATGTATATATATTGTCATCATCATTTTTTTTTTGATGGGTGAAAATGGTATGGTAACCCCGCCTGCGCCAACGGGATACGCTGGCGGAGCACCAGTGAAGGGTGATAGATGAGAATGAAAACAGGCCAGTTAGCCCATCATGATGAATTCATCAGGAATTAACCATGATAGTTTCCAGGGGGAACCGCGAGGAGGTCGACCTGGTTGGGTATATTGCTAGCAATGGGATTCTCAGTCTCCATTATTAACAATCCCTTTCCCCCCGTCATCATCATATTAACCAATAACTATCCTCTGCTAAACGTAGGCGTTCCCCATAAGAGGGTTTTCGTCAGTATGTAGTTTCGACGCTTAGCAGGCTGGTTGACAATCGTAGTTATATTTTTGATAATGTTGTAAGAGGGATGCTGCTGCCTATCCCTCGACTATTAAGTTCTCTTAGCCCCCTCTTACGACACTCACGAGAATGGAAAGGGTAGCCCGTTTTATGCCGGGCCCACACAACAGTTAAAAATTTATTTTCTGTAATCATAGATTCACAATCGTTATGGTATATAACATATGGTCGGCATCGCGCGCGTAATACCTCTGGTATTGCAGGTGTTCATAGGCTACGGTAACCACTTACCATCAGGTGGGCCATATGCTTGTTTGCCACCTCAGTGGTATATATATATATATATATATATATATATATATATATATATATATATATATATATATACATTCAGTTATATATATATATATATATATATATATATATATATATATATATATATATATATATACTGAATGGCAGGATGTAATGAAATTACTGTGTAATGTTCTTTCCGATATCTGATAAGACTTTATCTGGAAATCTTCTTCAAGATGAGTATAATGTTTACATTACAAAATCTCGCCTAGCAAAACATAGCATTTATAGTTCATTGACCGGGATAAAATACAGCCTACATCTTTCTCCATCACATATAGTACATTTATATCGAATTTCATAGTAATTGGTTAGGTTGTTAAAGTGCTTAGTAGTAACAAATTAACAAACTCACTTTCACATTTAGTAAGAATAAGGATGTATAAAAATACTTATATTCATATTTTCGTCTAAGTATAAAAGTTACGTAGGTGGAGCACGTGCAATGGTATGTAAATACTTCTGTAACGTCACCCTTTTAGGGTTTCGTAGAACCCTATTGTTATGCTAGCCATGTCTATCTGTCACGAGCCACGGACATCCAACTTCTACGCGAAATGAGAAAAGGACTTGATATTAATACATAATTTATACTTAAACCTTCAGCTGACTGCTGTAGACAGTGACATGTTTAAAAAAGGTTTACGAGATAACGTTAAATCTTAGTAGTATACTTAATCTGTAGTTTGTTTTAAGCTATAGTTACACCATAATTAATACATGATATTGATAATTTATATAATTTATATAATATCATAATTTATATGATTTACTAAAGGGTGATTTTATACAAGAGTCGTTTGCTTGGTTACCTCTGTCCCATTCATATTTCAACCGGAAAACAGTTGTGTTTGCATGGTTGTGTTTCGGTTTTGAGGATGGCTATATGACAGTGAAATCTACATGGTACGGAGGCATAACACCTTAGTCCTCAAGAATAACAACGCATGAGGGGTATCACAAACGAAACAGTATACTCTCTTATGTCCATGATACTGCTTAGATCTATAGGCAGTTATTACTTTCCATCAGGTGGCCCGTCAGCTTGTTTGCCATTCTAAGTTGTATAAAAAAATCCATGATAGCGAAATTACGTAGGTACAACTAGGTATAGTTTATAAAAATAAAAGACAATATTAATTGCTTGTAACATCATTTATTTATTATATATAAACAATAAATAATTATTATAATTACATATTTCACACTTAATACTTTTTATATTCAAACATATATTTCATTATAGGTATTTACTTGCACTTTACAAAACTATTAAATATTTAAGTATGTACTTATAATATATTACACGATAAGTATTATTATATATTTACAACATATAAAAATACTACCTACCATAAATTATAACAACCCATTAATGGCCCATATTAGGCATGGGTCTCACCCCATAATGAGAGTCATAAATTAAGATTTTGTTCCATGAAAAACAGTTACTTCGTCAATATCGTGACGACTTATTATTTATATTGGAAACATCAAAATGGCGAAGATGCTAAATGCACATAAAAATACAGTCGCATTAAGAAATTTCCACTGTTCTCTTTTTTTTTTTTAATTGTGTAATGTTTTATTCCTATACCATAGATATGTTTGTAATAATACTATGCACTATGTACTTAACCGTTTCAAATATGACGGTAAAAAAAGTTGTTTCTATTGATTAAACTGTAAATAATAATATCTTCTGTAACTAATCCCAGTCATACTGTAATATTAGAAAGGGAATACATTAAATAACACAATGTATTTATATAAGTTGTATAGATATACAACTAATTACTTATCAATATTATACAATTTACTGGCTTTTACCTACAATAGGTCGTCACTTCTAGATGGCATATCAAGACAAAATGTACATCAAAATTATAAGTGAAACTTTCAAGCACACAACTACGAAAGCTGCATATCATTTAGTGCAGTAGATTCAACATGATACCGGGAAAAATATTGATTTGTTTCATTGCTCTTATTGAAACCTCATCATATACTTACAATTTTATTACATTAGTAAAATAAGATATTTAAGCAGTTTCTAATATACCTATATTTGCATATCTCACATAATATGCCATTGATCAAAGGTGCATTTTAATCCTTTTAAAATATAAATATTGAGATTATTAAATCATCACGTTCGAAGTTTCTGTTTTTTCAACAGAAAAATTGTTTACATTGAAATTCATAAGTATTTACTACTTTACTCAATAATAATGAAGCATTACAATACCAAGGGCTATATTTACATAACAATTGCCACAAAAAATTGTACAATATTGTCCATACAGAACAACTTTATGCAAATATATATCGTCCGTGTCGACCTTCCTTCAGCGACTGCAATTTATGGCCGGGAAAAATGTCAGAACGATCCGGGAGGAAAGTAATAACTGCTATATATTGTTGGAGCTCCATAGAGATTGATAATTTCGGCCGATAACTCAGTATGGTGACAGACAGTTTACGCTTCGCTCGCTGAATTTATATTTATTTATTTAGACAGTTGACAAAGCCAATCAATCAGACAATCTAATCTATTATTATTATCTATTTCAGCAAGTCGAAGACAAAATCGAAGAAAAGGAAAAATTGTGAAGAAAAAAGAAGGAACATAATGAAGTATTTAATTTTATGCATGAGAAAATGTTTTCCAGCAAAACAATCTCGAATTAATAAAATGTGCAAATGTTTGTTACTTACATTTAAATGTCTAAATTCATATTAATAATATTTAGTACACATATGGACCCTATCTTTGATTAATATAGTTTTTATTATTATTACTTCAGCCATTAACTGTCCACTGTTGAACATAGCCCCCCCCATAAGGGGGATTTTGCTAGTAGTTGCCGGGCGGATTGTCAGCCGCAGTAAGATTTTGGTGATGTTTTAAAAGGGACGCTGCTGTACTGTACTGTGATGGGCGGCAGTGTCCTTCTTAAAACATCTTCAAAGCCTAACTGCGGTCGTCAATCCGTCTGTCAAGCATGGCAACTATTGGCAAAACCCCCCAAGGGGGAGGCTTATGTTCAGCAGTGATAGTTAAAGATACGGTGATCATAACTTGAAGACCAAGCGATTGTTATAATTGTATGGCAGTTATTGTTATTGAAACTTGGTACTCCTTCTTCTTAATCTCTAATTATTCATTCAACAAGTTGTCGCAAACCTTAAACTTTGACCATTAATTGACTTTACAACTTGATAATCAACTTGCCATGTTTCCGTCCGTTTGTTTCCCAAGAGTTTAACAGATGTTTAGCTATCCGTTTCTAAACCGAAATTTAGATTTTATTATATTATAAAGTATCTATATATTAATTTAAGATATAATGTGTAAGATATAGTAAATTGCATTCAAATCTGTGCAGGTAATTTAAAATGACTGAGTAATAAATAACCAACACACACATTTACATTTTTAATAGGGGTAAAACAGAGAGTAAGTAAGAAACATAAATATCTAAGAATGTAAATTTTAATCTAGTTGTTTACATCTAAAGTTTACTGCAGATAACTTCAAGCACCTACCTACAGCTATTAAAATTATTTAGATTTGCTAAATTTAAAGCTATTTTAAAAAATGGTTTTATATATATTATGAGTAAACTACATATATTGAGTACAAAAATAATTGAAAGTATTCTTTCATAAATTATTTTTAAATATTTTTAGTCTTACTCTAGGTAAATTGAAATCCACAGTACTGCATTACTGCAATGGTGAATTGGTTATTTTCAGTAAGCCTCATAAAAGCTAAACCGGTTAAAAATAATTGTAAAAGTTTTTTGAATTCATATCAATTTTACAACTTTCTTAAAAACGACATGATTCCAAAATGCTAACAATCACCAATAATATCAGTGGGTACTTTATACCTCCCATTATTTTTTTAGAGAATAATTAAGTAATTTTCTGAGTAATAAAATAATCAGAATTTAATTTTTTCAAGACATTCTTGTCAAGAAATGGTAAAACTTAAAATACATAAGGAATATAATGCATATTATATCCCATTTTATTTAATATGAAATTTTATAAATTCTTTATTTTTAAGTCTATACTAAATACAATTTTAATACATATAATTATAATTAACATTCCTCTAAAGCTTAAAATCTCTTTGAACAATAAGATAATATGTACATTCTCTAAAAAAAATACAAAATGTTGATTAGATATCTCTAGATATACATCTTACGTAAACATTACTTAGGTATATATTTTTTATATAAATAAGTATGTAATACAACAACGATAACAACGTTAATTATATATTCACCTATTTAGAGTTGGTACATTATTTCGTTCTTCTTTATATTTGAATATTATAATGGTACATTATAATATGAATGGTGAACAATCAACAAATACATACGACCCCCTTATATCTATTTATTAAGTACTAAGCCTAAGCCGGTGGGTCTAGAAGCATGAAATTATACACAAATGCTACTTATATGAATAGATAGTCGTAGAATGAATTATGAAATTAGAATTCTGAAGATTATGGAGAACTATGAATTCTAAAATGGAAGGATGGAGATTACTCCTTCAAGCGGTTAAAGGGCAACATTATGTTTTGTACTATTAAATCATACTTATAAATAATCTATTTTATCAAAAAATAAATTATGTTGGAATTCTCTATCATGTCGATGAACTTATTTTTTTTTTATTTGTCTACTATCTATCGTTGATGTAAAATATGGGAGAAAGGAGACAGGTTTTTAGGAAGAAAAAGAGAACTCTATTCTCGTAAAAATAAATGTTTGTAAAGACGTTTGAACTTTTGTTTACTCTACGTATACACTAGGCAAAGAAAGGTCAACAAATGGGTTTCTTTGGGATTCGTTGGTTCAGATGGACGGTTTAGTAATAATCAACGAAGCTTTGTTAACATTCGGCCGCAAACCGTAGCCCGTGGTTAACATTAAATAAATCTGACTTTTCAGCCCATTGAGCTATGTTACATATACAATAAAATCAACGAATGGTTGACAAAATAACAAACACTTAAGAACAAATTTTCGAATGCTGGCAAAGATGCGCCAAGTGCGAAAATCGTTCATTGGCTTTAGTTAGCCCAGTGTATCAGCAACACCACTCGATCTTCGAATTTAAGTAATATTTAGCATTTAAATAACAAATGGGCCATATAATGGATTGACATATAGAACACTTTATTCTAACCTACACGGACAAAGATGCGATTACAGATAATTATTATGCAAGTAAACCTCATGCTTCAAACATATCCGCACTTTCAAACATTTAATCTTAGTCCTAATACGTTATCGTTGGGGGGGGAGGGATTATTAGTAATACGGAATACCAGTCCCATTGTTAGGAATATACCTTGTCAGGTCGGCCTCCACGTGATCCTCCCTGGAAAATATTGTGCTGAATTCCAGGTGTATTTATCACGATAGGCTAACTGACCTGCCTTTTCATTCTCACCTGCCATCCCTCATTGGTAACCGCCAGAGTATACCATTCGCGCAGGTGGGATTGTCTGATCTTTTAATGCATTGAGAGCATTTTGAAGTCAGTTATTCAACTTCGTTTACTTTAACATTATATAAAGTTGCATTTATCTCGATTTCATTAGCAGCTACTTACTTAAGCATATAGCGCAGTGAAGCTTCAGCTAAATAATAATAAATAACAATCAATATTATAACATGTTCCTATTATGATATCGTTTCTTCAGTCAAACGTATGTGGTCTGTAATTCAGTGTGGGAACTAGCGCGCGGCGCCGGTGCACACCTGTTGCGTATCAGCTGCCCGAACGTGGTCCGAAATTGTCTGGACATAGAGCAGTAGAGCACGAAGTTGATGGCACCATTCAGCAGTGCCAGTGCATCCATCAGCTCGCCGAATAAGTTGTAGCAACGTTTGAAGAAGCAACGGCCCAGCATCCCGCTGAGAAGACCTATAAATAGAAAGATATTTAAAACTTTATGCATTTGTTATCTAAACGTGATTTATTTATTTTTTTAGAAACCGGAACATGCTCTCCAACTAATATGAAATTGTGTAAAGATTTTTTAAAGTTTCGATGTTTCGACGTATGCTACTCAATCACGCAAATGGCTGTACGGATTTGTAATGAATTTTGTTATACAAATAAACCAAGCGTAACACGTGAACAGTGGATATGTTACATAAGCAGTGAGATATATCTAACATATCCAGCTTTTATACACTGTGGTGACCGCTATCACTAGCCGCCACTAAGCGAACCGTTTATAATGATGTAACGTAACAATTCGAAATCCAATGATATTTTTTATTATATTTTATTTTTTATACAACTTAGAATGGCAAACAAGCAGATGGCCCACCTGATGGAAAGTGCTAACCGTCGCTTATAGACATGAGCAGTACCATGGATATAACAGAGTATACTGTTTCACCCATGATATCCCCCATGCGTGGCCATTCCTGAGGACTTAGATATTATTTTTCTGTACCCTGTAAATTCACTGTCATATCCCACCCTTCAAACTAAAACACAGCCATGCAAACACACAAAACCTGCTTCACGGTAGAAACACGAATGGGACAGAGGTGCCCAAGCAAACGACGTTTATACAAAGTCTTCCTCTGGTAAGATAATTTGTAATATGAAACTAAATTATTAATTATTATTAACTAAAGTATTAAGTCCGCCTTTTGTACCAGACATTTTTTTTGTAATGTGGTCAATAAAGCATAAATAAATAAATAAATAAATTGAAAAAGTCACGACATATATAATGAATTATGAACTGATGCCATGTAGTCCCAGCCACCCCTTCCTTTCCCGTGGGTATTGTAAGAGACGACTAAGGTAGGGCGAGGGATGGGCAGTAGCGATCCTCTTAAAACACCAGAGGGAGACTTTGTACAAAAGTCGATTGCTTGGGTACCACTGTCCTATTCGTGTTTCAACCATGAAACAGTTGTGTTTGTATGGCTGTGTTTCGGTTTGAAGGGTGAAATATGGCGTGACTTTACTGGGTACAGAGGAATAACACCTGAGTCCTCAGGAATGGCAACGCATAGGGGATATCATGGGCGAAACAGTATACTCTGTTATGTCCATGCTACTGCTCATGTCTATAGGCGACGGTTACCACTTTTCATCAGTTGGGCCGTCAGGTTGTTTGCCATTCTAAGTTATATAAAAAAAAATCTCTAAAGCAAAAGTGTGGTTCCCAATCTGCCTGCCAAGCGTGGCAACTACTAGAATAAATCCTTCTATAGGGAGGCTTATACTCAGTAGTAGATAGTTAAAAACTGATATGATGATGATGATCATCATCATAATGATGATTTTATATATTATTTACACATTTGTCCTTGGGTTACATACTTACATAATATGTAACAAATTTCAACTCAATCGGCCCAGTAGTATAGGAGTAAATTGGCTGTAACAGTCAGATAGATAAGCAAATATGTGAGTAATCCTATAGTATAAAATATTTTTTCCTTTTGAGATATAAAATCCTAAAATAATCCTAAAAACGCAAGGTTTGCACAAATTGCTTAATAATGCAAAGCGTACTTGTCTATATTTTTTATAATACTATTAAAAATAAAATATTGAAAATAGTGTAAGTAACTATATTTTTTTTATAATGACTAAATGAACAAAGACGAGATATTTTTTTAATTAAACCCAAACATTAATCAAGCTAAATGTACAGACAGCCAGAAAAATATATTTAATTAATTAATAAGCCCGAATATTTTCTCTAACATTTTATCCAAACCATCGTTGGAGTTACTTAAATAAATTGCTTTTTTATATTATTAACAAAAGAACTTCCCTAAGGTTACTGAAAATTAAAATTAAATGTATACAAATAGATTAATACAGTTACACTCATGGATTAGTAAAAATATCAGTATTATGAAATTTGAAATTTTATATTAATTTATATTTTTACCTTGACACAGGAACTAGAAAATTTATTAAATATGTAGGTATATATAGAAGGTGACAGATAATATAGTCGTAGATGTTTTGATGTTTTGGCAACACTTGAGAATTTATTGAAGCCGGTTGTAGTGTGAAGCGATGTGTATTTCTGTAATTTGTGGTGAAGTGACTGAATGCATTTAAAAATAAGGCATCTTGGCTTATAAGGACAAGTTTCCAGAGCCGTAAAACATCTTATTAAAAAAAAAATATTGAAGCCAGCTTACAGACTATATAGACAGACATACCTACAACCAAATAGATATATGTGAAAGCCTGACAAAATAGAAATAGCAACATCGAACGTTGTTTTTTGATGGACTTAAAACTTGTAGTTGACGCTCTACTTTTTTTATCTTCTACTTGTTATCAAAATCATACAACTATAGTTTGCCAAAATGAACTCGTTGTGTAAATATGTTTAATTTCTTATTAACATAAAGTTATTTATATTTCAAGTATTTTATTACTCGACATGTCTTAAAAGACAATATATATATATGTAAATATATATTATAGTTCCTCGATAAATGTAAGTCTATCGAAAACTTATAGTCTATATGTATAAAACTGAAACAAATGCAATCAATAAAAATACAAATTTTATAAGGTATTTTAAAATTTTTCTACACAAAATTATGTATTGATTTGTATAAAATAAATCCCGATTTTTATATTTAATATAAATTTTAACGAATATCCATATTTAACAAAATAAAAATTAATCATTAAGTGTGTTGTTAGGCGCAAAACTCAAAAAAGGCCAATTCGGCTAACAATGGAGCTGCTAGTCCCCATTACTAACAATCTTGTCTCCCTTACAGCAGAATATTAGGGTCAATAATACAAGTATCTTATCTAACTAATACTCGTAAATTGTAATTAGACAATATCTGCACGAGGGAGTTATTTAATAATCATTGATATTGATATTTTATTAAGATAAGAGCAATACATAAGAAAACAATATTTTTTTGATATTTTGTCTGTCTGTCTGTCTCTATGTTAGTTCCTGCATCATGTAATAACTACTGCATAATTAAGTAAGGTTTTCTTTATTGTGTTCTTGAAGGTCTAACTTTAAAAAGTTGTCATCTAGAAATAGTTATTTTATTTTACGTATATATATGTATATTACATAAAAACTAGTATTACGTATTATATATATTTATTTACAGCAAATAAGCGCTAACTTTAGTAACGTAATAATTTAATATAAAATCCAATTAAAATTATTGTAATCAGATGAAATGTAACATTTTAAATCGAAGTATAGGATTAAATACCTAAGCTTAAAATGTTATACTTACAGGCTTAGCTGTAATTTTGAAACATATTAAATATTTTAGGTATAAAGTTCAAAAACACCTACCCAACTCACAAAAGAGGAAAATTTTAACAAAACAATTATGAGGAAACCCATTTCATTTAACCAAATAAAACAAGCACTTAGGCAAATCTCTAATGTCTACTTTGATATAATTCAATATATGTAATAGGGGATTAGAAATTAGAAGAGTAGCTATACTGGCAAAACCTTTTAATCTACTCTCTTAACAGGTACATTTTGAATTTGTAAATTAAGCATTATCTATAATTCAATTTACTAGTTTTTTAATTTTAACGTGTAAATGAGTCAACCCTTACTTTTCTGTGGGTGTCCGTGTCTGTGAGGGATAAGCAGCAGCATCTCTCTTGAAACATCATCAAGTCTAATTTCGGTAGTCAATCTAGTCATCAAAATAAGGACAGGCCTATATTCGGCAGTGGACAGTTATCGGCTGATATGTTCACTAACATTTTATATGTAAGTGAATTGTTTTATTTGTTTACTATCATTTGGCACCTAACCGAGCTGCCACATTATATTCTACATTAAAAAGGTATAGGCTATTTATTATTCCGGACAATATTCCAGATACGTGGACGAAGTCAGATCTGAAAACTGTCAACGTCTATCTAGCGGAACATGTGATATGGATTGAGTCCTCCATTGTGCAAAGTCGCGTATTAAATGGAATGAAAAATGGAACGATAATCACCACCAGCCTTATCGAAATATGCAGGCAGATCTGACTTCATTTCTCTATCATTATTTACTGGTATAGTAAATAATGATAGAGAAATGAAGTCAGATCAATTGACGCATCGTGATTATATTAGGAATTAACCACGATGGTTTCCATGCGAAGGACTACACAGAGTTCGAGCTGATGGATATTATAGAGCTGTTAGATTTAATTACTAATGAGTCAGGTCGACCTCCTTGTGGTTCCCTCTGAATACCACCGTCATTGATTGTTAATGAATTTGTCACGATGAGCCAACCGACCTACTTTCATTCTCACCTACCATTACTCACTGGTGCCTCATTAGCGTATATAAATAGCACAAGCGGGGTTATCATTCCATTATCATCCATTAAAAAACAGATAGACCATGATAAAAAGTTGCCTTTTTCTAACACATCGCCAAATGTTAATTGTATATACCAAATGTCATACCTATTAGTTGAACTATTAAGATACCAAGGTACCAAGAGGTAACAAACAAAGAAACTCATTTTCAAATTTATAATATCAGAGATGATTAAACAGACAAGTAGGGGTAAGAGGATACGATATCGCTTTATAGCCATGACACTCGCTCGTTAGTGAAGGGTCGAGTATTTGACCGGTCATTAGAACAAACATTTAGTACTATCTACAATAATTTACTAATGTTGGGTCGACTCCTTGAATAGATTCATTGTTTGCTATGGATTAACGATTTAATTTAATCTATTACAACTTTAGAGACTAGATCGACTGGTTGTATTTGAGATCTTTATCGAGTATCATTAAAATCCTTATTGTTTGATATCTAAACATAGAAGACATTTAAGAAAATCTTAATATGAACAATAAAAGTAAAAACAATTTTATTTTTATTTTTATTTGTCTGTCAGTGTGTTTATTCCGGCATCACGCAAAAACTACTGCATCAATGCTTAGAAGAATTATTTAACATGATGTCCACGGTCACTTTCTTTCACGGACAGAAAGTTCACACACATACCTTAGAGCCTAAATGGTTACGTGCATCGCAGTTTTAGAAACGCTCAGATAATGGAATGAGCTGGCTGTCGAGTTTTTCCCAAGATACCACAGCATGGGTTCTTAAAAAATGGGATATAGAGATTTCTTCAAGGTTGACAATGCACGTGTAACGCAGCTAGTGTTGCAAGTGTTCATAAGCTACGGTAATCGCTTACCGTCTGGTGCACCGTATGCTTGTTTACCGCCACGGTAGTAAAAAAACAACAAATAAGATTTCACAATTATAATTTTGAAAGTCTAATTTAAAATACGGTGTGTCTTATCTTGATATCCCATCTGGAAATAATAACTAACTTCCAATTCGCATACATAATAAATATACATATATTTATTATGTATGTTTATATATAACTAAAATCAGTTATAAAACAAAATTGTGTTCCACACATAAAATCGACTTCAGTTTTGGTAAAGCCAACTTTGATTTAAAAACTAAATATCTAAACCGATTTTGATAAAATTACTGTGGGAATAAACTAAAAGTATATCCTTTCAGATAAAAAGGAATTTTCCAAATTAGTTTATATATGTCGGAGTTATGAGGTAACAAACAAAAAAAATATACCTAACGAAAATAAGTAATAATAATAATAAGAAGAATTTCCTTCTTTTTTAAAAACCAGTTTGCTAACTTCACTTCGCTGAAAAAGTTACCTTTAAATGTACCAATAGGATCATGACTCTAAATTCGTTCACAGCCGTAATAGAGATTAATGATCAGGCACACCACTAAGCGAACTTTTATATAGGTACTTCATAGGCAATTTGTATTAATTATGTGCCCTGTGTAAACACTTCATGTGGTTTTAATTTAACTAAACTCTTATTGACAGTTCATACAGTTTCTACCGAATTGTTAGCAAGCAAATTACATAGCCGCTAGCCAATACCAAAAACTTTGTGTTTCATTTGTATTTTAGGATATATAAACGGTAATTGAAAACACGTTAACTAATGTATCTAACAATCTAGAGAGAGCGCGGTTTTTTTTAATTAATGATAATGGAATAGAAACCCTGACAGCGCTATCGGTATACACTGGCGGGGCAACAGTGTATACCGATAGGTGACGGTGGAAATAGAAGTTGGCCTATAGTGACGAATTGAACAATAATTAACCACAATTATATCCAGAAGAAACCGCGTGAAGGTCATTCTAATAGGGTACTAGCAACCACAACCGCATACGATATTGCTAGGTTGCTAGTTCCATTTTTAAAAATTCCTTTTCTCTCCAAAAGATTTGTGTAAGACTTCAACGGGTAATCTTTCTATAACAAATTAAACTACTATCGTAAGACTGTTTCCAAACAGTTGTTTAGTTTGTAGTCAGTTTTTCTCCATTACAAACACTAATACACTGTATGTATACATGACTATTGATTATGCTATTGAGACATTAAAAAAATAACAAGTAGGTAAACAAACAAATACTGTTTCACATTAATAATAATAGTAAACGATATCTGATTGAAGAATCTTGACTCTATTTAAAGTTTTTTATACAGATATGTATCTACAAGCAATAGCAAATAAATTGATGTCTACAGTCTACCTGATGGAAAGTTGATAACAGTCGTTTACAAACGTGAACATATTTGCGAGCAAATACGAATATATTTAAGATTAATATTAACATGATGTAAAATATATTTCTTTATTTTTTCTATATTTCGTTACTATGCATTACCCAAAATGAAGAACCACATATATATACTTCCAACTCGAAGGATCAAATAAAGTTTGCAAGTAGCGACCCCGTAAAAGCAAACGCAGTGCAAAATAATTCCTTACTAGGTGGAAAAACGACCTCAAATGATTTACAGGAAATCTGTGGTGTAGGTGGCTCAAGCAGTTTCTTAAGCATTCTATATTTATTTAGTAATGAATAAATTAACCTTTTTGTACTATAATTATTTCCTATAGAAATTTTCACGAGAATGCAAAATAATAAGTTAAGCGAGGCGCTAAAGGCGTAGTTTCCTTATAGTCATGAATAAATATAATAAACAGTTTAGGAGTTTGTTCCACTAATCAATCTTCAATCACAGTATACGAGTAAGATCAGTATAATTATAAATTCTATTGATTGTAAAAAAAAAATATTCAAAACTAGTAAAAACATCACGTAACATAAAAAGAAATACAGTCAAATTGACAACATCAATAGAAAAGATATATAAGGTAGCAAGCTTAGCTTAATGATTGGTCTACGTTGTGCTACGACGCAAAGACTAATCATTAAGCTTAATGATTGGTAAGTTATCGAGTAATTTCCATTTTTGACCAAATACTAACCTAATATGCCTTGAGGGAACTCCGTCATCAGGAACAGAAGTAGCACGGCAACCAACATTTTTGTCGTTCTGTCCGTTCTTCTCTCCGCTTTGCTACGTTTCGTCGATTTTCTCGTGAAAATATTCCCGTTACCATTGACGACCGTTTCAGCTGGACACGCGCTGTAACCCTTAAGAGCTTTCTTCCTAGTATTCGCCCGATAAAGGGCCCGGATGAGCCAGGCACTTATCACAGTAAGTATAAAACATGGCAGCAACTTTATGAGCACTGCGAGCACCCAAAAATTTATCTGATACAATGTCCCATCATAATCCGAGTCAACGTAATACACTTTAGTTGGTATGTTTCCATTTTTGTCGATGGTAAAATCTTTGTGGATTGTGAAAACCTGCAAAAGAAAATATTAAAATAGAACTATTATCATTTTAATTATTATAACAACTAATTAAATTGCAATACCAATGCACTGTCTGTCGTTGAAAAAGAGTTTCATATCAAATTTACCCTTTCTAGTTCTGTTGTGAAACTAAGAATTTGTAGAAAAGTGTATGACACAATTTTAGAACAACTTTTTTGATTGTAATTAATTATTTATATTATATATTTACATTTTTTTTTTTTTTTTTTTTTTTTTTTTTTTTTTTTTTTTTTTTTTTTTTTTTTTTTTTTTTTTTTTTTTTTTTTTTTTTTTTTTACAACACAGGGGGCAAACGAGCATGCGGCTCACCTGATGGTAAGTGACTACCGCCGCCCATGGTCACCCACAACACCTACGGCATTGCAGGTGTGCTGCCGGCCTTTTAAAAAGGAATATGCTCTTTTCTTGAAGGTTATGTTGTTGAAAACATTACATGTTCTACTCATGTTTTGTCTTAATTCACATGCATTTATTTACATACGATATACATTTATATAATATACACTATAAGCATTAAAAAAAATTTATAACGCAATAAAACTTAAGAGCAGTAATAATATGTAATCTAAAAATATGCCTAATGATTTAAAAAGCAAACAGTAATTAGTCGTTAATAACGACGGCAGTTTAGAGAAGCAATAACAGGATACATAAACTATAGTAAAGACTAAAATATTTGCCTTGGCACCTACAAATGAATCATAAAAAAGTAGTTTATCTTCGAAAACAAACTAAAAACGTGTGACTAAGCCTCAAAAACGAATTTAAATTGTCCGTTTATCTATCGCGATTAACTTGACAGGCAACGTTGTGGATTTTTCTGGATTAACACTGGCCACAAATTCGCGATGTGTTATTTTAAGCATGTTACGAGTACAGCGCAACAGTTTTATTGGAATTATTGGAATATCTGTAGCAAATTTACAATAGGGTTGATCCTGAAGTGACATTTACTAAATCGATTTATATAATCTTTATTGGTCAATAAACGGTGGGACAATCGTAGTTATAGAACAAATATTTTAAAATAATAACTTTCCAGAAGTTTCATAATAATAATAAATAATAATAATTATTCCGAACTACCAAGAACTACATTTAAAATAGACATTTCTAACTCATATTAATTACAAATTTAGTTCCGACTGGTTCTAATAAAAATAATATTTGGTCTTTAATATTAATTTCATTATTATAGTTAGTTAGATAAAGAGATGCAAGAATAGAGGCCTGTGGCACTTGTTTCTTTCAAGAAACTTGGCATGAAGATAGATAAAATAATTATAGTTTATAAGGTCGACAAAGAGTGAAATTATTTGAAACTGACCCTAGCATATTTTTATTACCTTCAGAGATTTATATCTACCTAAATATAAAATGACGCCCCGACTGACTGATCGCAGTCTAAACCGGTGGGATTAGAAACTTGAAAGATTAAATAAGACTCTTTCTATGACGTATACATCCACTACAAATTATGTAAAATTTCTATGATAACAAGAGATAAAGAACTAAGACAAAGAATAATACATAGGTGAGTCTGTGGAATAGACAAAATCTATTTATAAATAATAAAAGAATTTATAAAAGAGGTTTACTTTTTTTTGGTAAATAGAAACGCTTATAACAATAGTGTTGTTTGTTTACGGTAAACATTACTTTTATGAAAATATATTTTTCCCCATAAAACTTTTTAGTTTGCTTTAGTTAAATAAAAGGTAATTCTTTCTAATGGAATGAATAAAAGAAAGTTTTTAAACTTATGTACTTATGGAGGAAAACAAATAAATCTTTCTTTTTCTACTTAAACTATGGAAATATTGAACCAACACTTTTTAAGAACTAAGTATTTATTTTCTATAGAATAATAAATCCGCCTTCGATACGCACTGGCTAGGTACTAGTGGTCGTGGATAGGTAAGTCAGGTCATAATGGACTCATTATAAATTTACCACGATGATTATCAGGGTCCGCGTGAAGGTCGACCTGACAGAATATATTTGTAGCAGTGATGCTGTTACTAACAACTCTTAATTGCAATATAAAAAAAAATGTTAAAAATGTATGAAACATGATAAAGTCCGCTGTTGGCACTCAAATATATTTGCCTACATCGTCATAGATAAATATGATAAAATTTAAATAATCAAATGACACTAATATTTGTCTACATTATATCACAGATAATATCTGAATAAACAGTGCAAACATTTTTTATATTATTATTATATTATTATTATTATTATTATTATTAGGTACATTGAAATCGTGCTAACAGATTGAAAACATCAATTAATACTAGACCTGTCATTCTAACCTTGGCTTCAGCTTTCTATAATTGTATTGTTGTGTAATCTTAACCTTTGTCCATTAGATCAAGGAGAGTGGCAAATATAGTAATCAATTACGGTGACCAATAATTTATTAGGCGTCCGCTCGCTTTCACTATCAGACATTAATTTTAAGCCCTTCCTAGATATCGACAATATTAAGAGTACCTTCTTCTGAGTATTGATCGTTATCTAGATACTGACCAGCCAAGCATTTATATTCTAAAGTTCTGTGAATCCGCAAAAATTGGAACACTTTCCATTATTTTATTCTAATATAATCTATCAAATCGTTCTTCTCCGTTGAATTTTCCTGGAAAATATAATCTATATTGCTTGGAGCAAGATATACCTAAAAGAATGCCTTTCTATATGAAAATATTTGTAATGCTAATGTAACCTAACTCTGAATAACAAGTCTAACTCCGCTTGGTTCTCCGTGAAAACCATTGTGTTTAATTCCTGACTTCATATTATCTTCACCTTTTATACTCTATTAGTGTAATGTCAGTATGTGCTGGAGATATTTAACAAAAAGACATATAAGGGGTCTTAATAAGAGCAATAGAAACCAATACTATATATTTATACAATATATACTTATTTGTTTATTTTATTTATTTAATAAGGTTCACCTACAACTTTTAGATTATATATGCTACTTAATCAATAACACAAAAAATAATTTTCCCTAATTTAAAAGTCTTTTACAGGCGAACACCACATACACTATTATAATATTTAATAATTATTAACTATACAATATTAATACAATATATTAATAAAATTTTTATCTATCTGTTTGACTGTACGTTTGTTCCTTCATCATGCAAAAACTGCTAGATCAAGTTATATGCGATTTATTAGATTTATTTATAAGAACATGAAACTTTAAATGTAATAAATATTTTGTCTACAACTTAAGGTTTCACGCCAACCAAAAGTAAACTATTTTTAAACGGTTTTATTTTATTGGTTTGACTCCTTCAATGCGTGCAAAGTGGCTGGCAAACGTTCGTCTATATTAATATCATAAAGAAAAAAGATTTGATTGTTCGTAATGGATAAACTCAAAAATTACTCAATAAATTTTAGATATTATTTTATTTGTAGAAAGCTAAATTTACAGCAAGTAACATACTACATATTATTTTCGAAAATTCCCTAGTTTCTAATTCTTTTTTATGCAACTTAGAATGGCAAACAAGCTGACAGCTCACCTGGTAGAAAAGAGGTAACCGTCGCCTATAGACATGAGCAGTACCATGAACATAACAGAGTTTACTGTTTTGCCCATGATATCCCCCATGCGTTGCCATTCCTGAGGACTCAGGTGTTATTCCTAAATTTTCAGGGTACAGCCCTGTAAATTCACTGCCATATCTCACCCTATAAATCGAAACGCAGCCATGCAAACACAACTGCTTCATGGTTGAAACACGAATATAATTGTAACCATAGGTATTTCATAATAACATTTATCGCCTATGGGCCGCGTAAAGTTACTAGAGCTCCTCAGAGAGATTGTTTTGGGTTTAGGGTCCTTAATACGCCTGTCACATGCCCTATACTGTAGACAAGTGGTAAACAATTGGATTTCTAATAAAATACGTTAAATGCCGCTTTAATATGAAACCCTTTCCATTTTGAGATTCGTTCGTTTCGTAAAAACTGCTTAGTTACAAATATTGATCCTGCATTCAGAGATTATAAAATACTATAATTATAGTCTAATTAGTTAGTAGTTTCTGTTGCTAGTTCTATTTTATTTGCTCTTCTAATATTATAAATGCTTATATGATTGTTACTCTTTCACGCAAAAATAATTGAATGGATTTAAATAAAATTTGGTCCAGGGATAGGTGATAAATACATATTCAAAGTTAGAACATTTATATTATAAATATTGAACAGAGGAAGCTAAGATTCCAGCTTCCTACCGATCTTAAACCTTTGTACATGTCACTGAATTAATATACCTATTTAATGAACCTTAATTTTTGATCACAATTATAGTTTACTAGTTTTACCTACTATTTTATTCGTATTACCGAGAAATACTGACCCAATGGAATAAAATTATCTCAATTACTCTGTGTATGTAAAAAATTTCATTATGATTGATTGAGCCGGTAAAGATTTAAAAGGTAACAAACAAATTTATTTTCCTGTTTAGAATATTAGTAAGGATTTTATATTAACACCTACTCCGGTGTTTATTATACAGTATTTAATTTATTGTAAGAGGAAGTAAGTATATAACTAGTTATATGAATACGTTGCTAGCTATACATGTTCTCGAAATACGAGAATAATGGAGCTTTCGGGGCCTATTAATTTATTAGGAAGATACTTAATACTAGAGGAACGTTACAAAATACATTTAATGGCTAGATTTAAATAGTATATAATATTTTAACACTGGACATATATGTAGTTGGAATTTTTATACGTATTTTAATTCGTTTATTTTGATTTTTCTTACATATAATCTAAATTCAATCTCTCGCTTGTGGCAACCCTGTCAAAAATGACAGATCACTTTTGCCGCGTAAAAAAGAGGTTGTTGATATGATATGTATTGGTAGCGAGAAAACGTTGTTGTAACCTGTTGAATTAATATCTGTACCCTTTGTATCTCCTGCATGTGTGGTGTGACATTATATCAAAATATTAAGTATGCTTGTATACCATAATACCGCTGTTTGATTGCACCTCATCCTCATCGCACGGTCTTTGCTGATATACCAACTTCAAACACTTGTAGTTTTATAAACGTTTTTAGATTTCATAAGGTTAAATAGTCTTGAAACCTGATACATGTATTTGTGATGGAAAAGGATCGGCTACATTCTTTATCTCGTTTAATGAATATCACCCAATTGTCAGACGAAGCCGCTGGTACAAATAACTATAACTGTGTTTGCTACTGCTGTCCACCAATTATATAATAAATAAAAAAAATATGTTCAAAAATGTAATACATAATGGAGTAATTAGAGACATTTGTCAACTATGATCATTGTGGAGAATGTAATTAATACTCGACAGTTCCACATTTCGCCGCGCATATTAGAATCCTACGTACAGGGGACAGGCCTATCACCGTCACTCGGAATAATATGGTTTGTTAACGCTATTCGTCGTGAAATACAGTCAAATTCAAATTAATTCAAAGTCGGAAAGTTAATTCACACTGAAAATATTTATATTCACAATCTTTAGAAGCCGAGGGGGAAAGGGATTGTTGGTAATGAGGTCTAACTAACTTATTGCTAGCAATATCGAACTCCACGCGGTTCCCCCTGGAAACCATCGTGGTTAATTCTAGTGGAATTCGTCACGATTGGCTAACTGACCTGCTAACAATGAATGTCACCTATCATCGCTCACTGGTGCCCCGCCAGCGTATACAGATAGCGCAGGCGAGGTTACTATTTCATTATCACCCATTAAAAAAAAACCTTTAGAAGCCTATAAGTCGGTTGAGTACCACTAAGCGTTTTATACACTACGTATTACAATAAAATAATAAATTATACAATAAACAAATAATAATTTTATTTCAATGTTATACTTAATACTTACAAAATAGGAAGGTATGCAGAGTATCGGTGGTAGCACAAAGCTGGACAAGATTGCAAGTGAACAGCGGCGATCCGTACATAAAGCCGGACTATGCGACGGATACCTGCACATACACATAATTTATACATTATGATTTAACAGTATAAATAATCTTATAACTATGATCACCCTTTCACATTACTTCTACTTTTATATTTTTCACACACAATTTCAATGACGACATTTCTGAAATACCTTTTATTTCAACATTCATTTATTCGTAATGAAATTATTTAATATGTTTGTAAAACAATGTACCCAGTTGCGAAATAAATATTAAAATAGTATAAATACTTTAAAAAATCTAATTACTTTAAAATATTTTAACACACATTCTACAACTATGAACAAACTACATATACATTCATTCTCATTCGAGAATATTTCAATTTAATCTGTTATGCGAATAATTTATTATCGTTTAAAATTTTGCTCATCAAAAATACACAGATTTTAGTTGCGACTATAATATGGAACTAACACAGTAGTAAATCGGTTTAAAATTGGCTAAATCATCGCATAATAATATACAACATATAAAGACGAATCAAGAAATTTTACTTTTCGAAATTACTTAACAATAAATATGCATAATAGTAGACAATCTTCTGAAGAGTACCTAACTAAATAGATAACAAAAAGTAAAAAGGCGGGAACAAAACATTTTAACTTTATTAGCTACAGATATTAGCTAAACAAACACATTTAGTCATCTAGATAAATCGCTACAACGAAGTTTGTAACTAAATAAGTTACTTAGGTGAGGAGCCATCATCTAGACGAATAGATGTAGAGAACTCTGAAACTAAGTAACAACTATTACTGACTTAAACAAGATAAATGAAGTCATGTTTAGAGAAACAGCTTCTTAATACTTAGATGCAGGTACTTTTTAACCAAGTGTTGAAGTACTATAATTAAAAGGTTATGAGCACCGAGCCACTAGTATATTTATGAAAAAAAAAGTAAAAACACATTTATTGCCAAGTAAAATTTGTATAATATACTAGCCACCTACTTCGACTTCGTTTTATTTTTAATAAAATACAATGTCTGATAATGTAGCTTTCTATATGTAGATAAAAGTATTTTTAAAATCTATCAAGTAATTTTAGAGCTTATTCATTTCAAACAAACATTAAAAAAATAAAAATTTACATCTTTACGATACCTATTAAATTAGATAACTCTTATCGGACCTTCTATCGGAGCTAAGTAAATTGAGATAAAATTCTACAAAAAAATATTTGAAGAACTTTAAATTCAACTATTTCAACTACAATATTGTAGAAATTAGATTTATTTCCTTTATATTTCTCTTTCCAAACCATTTCCATGAGTCAATCAAATAATAAATCTTCTGTGAAAAACGATGCCAAATTTACGGATATTCCTTTAATTATTTTGTTAGCGAGAAACATTTTATTTTTTATGGAGATAATTTTGTAAGATTGAATTGGCAATTCTCTCTCTCATCTGCTTACTATTCATTGTAAAGTGTCTATAAATAATGTTAAAATAGAAAACTTTGTATTTCTTATTAACTCTTACATTGACTTTAAGAGGTTTTAAATTCTTTTAGCTCGCGGATATAACACATTTAATTTGTTTATTTACTATCAATCTAATAGTTTTGTTTAAGAAAATGTTTATTACTTATATAAATGTTTTATAATTTAAAGTAATTAATACATAGTGCTAAAAAAACAGCGAGAATTCGCTGTTGTATCTATGTGATTGATCGATTTAATCGTGACAAAAACACATGAATAAAGTATGAAATATTTCGTACACACATAACATTATATAAATATATATTTTAATTTACAATAAAAGAAAGAAACAAAGAGCTCCGCAAAGAAATACAGCATCTTCAGTCATCATGAAACTAAAAAGGAGCCTTCTTTTTATTTCTGCTATTTTCCAATATTCACCTGGAGCTAACGTCATATGATTTCTTCTTCTATTTATCTCTATTTGCTCTCATTAGTCACTCCCTTTCTGACCATATTCCCTTTCATCCATCTCTTTCTGAGTCTTCTTCTGCACTTATAACCACCCACATTGTACACATAAATAATACCTTTCATACCACTTACTCTTCCTTGCGTATTATATACCCATACCGCGACTTATAATTACTTCTCAATAATCACAGGATAAATCCTGTCAGTTACAAAAATCGGTCCAGAATTATCGACGTATATAACCACAAATAATATAAAATAAATAAAAAATATTTATTGGTTAAAAAAAATTAATGAAATGCATTTTTAATAATAGTAGAATAAAATCTGCTTTTAAAATAACTATTTATACTGTAATTTAATTCAATTTACATTCAATATATACTGTAATGTATGTAAATATTTTTTTTTTCTAAAAGTTTCATAAGTACATATTATATTTTAATGTAAAAATACGGGACCATCAGGGACCTTTTCATGAGTGGCAGTGACGAGAGCGATGATCCTAAAAAAACTAAAAGAGCATTCTCGGCTATACTATACGTAAATCAATGCGGGTATTTTTAAATTAGTATTGTTATTGTTAGTAACATACTTGATAGCTATATACCGCCAAACAGCTAATGACAACGTAAGTAGTATAGATGCAGTGTGCAGGATTTGAGTGAAGTGCATATGAAAAAGCATATACACTGCCCAAGAGTACGGCCAATCCTCTTGACCTGGTAGCAACTGTAACAAACAGAAAGGTTAGTTATGTATAAATAACAGAATCGTGACCTTCGATCAGTGGTTGAAGGCTCATTCTCAAACACTAGGGGGAAGGGATTGTTGACAATGGAGTTTAACAGCCCCATTGCTAGCAATATGCCCCCTGAAACCATCGTGAACAATTCTTGTGGAATTCGTCACGATGGGCTAACTGACCTGCTTCATTCTCACCTATCATCCTTCACTGGTGCCCCGTCAGTATATACCGATAGCGCGGATGGGGTTACCTTTTCATTATCACCCATAAAAAAAACTCTCAAGCACTGATGATAGGAAGGAATTTTTCGTAATAGAGATGATGGTACCCGTTTTTGCTACAAGATGTTCTCCCCTGAAAATTATCGTATGATGACTGATTGAGCCGGTAAAAAGTTAAAAGGTAACGAGCAAATTTATTTTCCTATTTAGAATATTATTAAGGATTTCATATTAATACCTACTCCGGTGTATTTTCCGATATGCCAGCTAACATGTTCATCCATACGTAGGATAGTGCAGACGAGGTTACCATTGCATTTTCATCCCATTAAAAAAAGATCGCAATAAATAACAACAAGATCACATTAAATCATAGTAAGCATTCAAAAAACGTTTTCTCAATGCTGAAATGCTTTTTTATTTATCATAATCCTTGGTTAACATTATTATTTGATTATACTTATTCATAACATTGGGCAAATATGTGGACATGCACGGAAATTTACGAAATTATTCATTATACATATATTTTATACTGTGAAAATTCTTCCTTATTAATATTAAAAATGTGAAAATGAGATTATTTGTTTGTTATCTTTTAATGTCTTAACAACTGAATCAATCTCTATGAAATTTGACATACACGTACTATATGGGATAAAAAGGACATATGCTTCCTTTTATCCCGGTCAGTGAATATATTGCAGTCACGCGGACGAAGTCTCGGTTAAAAGCTAGTATAAAACAGTATATCTGAATTACCTACTGGTAGTCCTAATATAATATATAAATAATCGAACTACCTTATAGTGTTAGTACCTACTAAAACATAATTACGAGATACAAGGTGAAGAATTAGTGAGATAAGTTTGTATTTGAAGAAAATAGGACCTAATATTGTTTTTCCATTAACAATATTGCGTCTTATTTTCTACCTCTTAGATTCCTCCAGAACAAGTTATATGATAATAAAGTTTTATAATACTTAACCACATAAGTAAGTTAGTTCTAACTAGTTAGTAGCTTTTACTTTATAGTAAAAATAAAATATGTAGAAAATATTTACTAATATGAAGTTATTAATATAAACCATAGGTGTATTTAAGAGGAGAGGCCTGGTGAGCCACGTCCACCCCAATATTGTATGGTGTCTACCCCAGAATACGAACGATGCTTCGCAAAATCATGTCTGAGAGTACACGTGCGTCTTTTACAAGGGGGTTTAGGTACCCTGAATAATAATAAACACGCTAGTGGATAAAACTGAAGCATAAGACCAGAGTTTTCAGGAATGGAAACACCACGGCATTAGAAACACCATGGGTGTTACAGTGCATTTTGTAATGTCCTAGGCCCTATTCAGGCGTCTGTTACCACTATCCATATGGTAGGTCGCTTACCATTCTAAATATCATAAAAAAATATTTACCAAATATCTGTAAATTGCGAATGGGACATATTCTATCATGACGAACACATCAGCAACGGCCAGCCATTTGAGCAATCGGTTTATAGGGGCGGCAGCTAAATCTCGTCTCGTCAAAACAGCCACATTCAGGATATTCGCTAGACTTCCAAAAAGGCAGACCTGGACAAAATAATGACATAGAAATCAATTTAAGAAACATAACATTTGTTGTTATATTGTAATATCACATATGTATAGGGTTCACATATGTGAATCTCTTTATTCCATCATAACTTCTATATTCCTGAATATATTGGGATAAATGGAATATCGTCAGAATCCTTAAATCATCCCGTTATTAAATATATATTAGATGTATTTAGGGGCAAGCCGAGTGGGTCGTACCTATCCCAGAATTATCTAATGCCTATTCCAGGATCTGGATCAGAGGTTTTAGCTGTGGATAAAGACATGAGTGAAAGTACATATGCCTACTTTAAGGATCTAGGCCCCACCTGGAAAATAACCTTGAATATACCAATGCGAGTAACATTAGAGATTGTTTTGATAATAGTTCGTTTTTGGCAAGCCGGTCATGTTTTTTTTTTTATTTACGCAGCCAAATTTAGATTATACATTATTTACATCGAAGCAACCTTTTTAAGTTTATTTATTTAAAAATTTAATATGCTATTTTTACGGGTAGAATCATCCCAATCCAAACTGTAAGAAGGTAAAGAGTAATGATAATGATATTTTAAGGTTAGGTGTTAAGTCCGCTATATGCACACTTACTTATATAATTGTGCATTGAAGTTTAAATAAATAAATATTTTTTTTAAATATTAAAATACTTTGCTCGTCACATAATATAGACATTATAAATCAATAGTAATTCATTTGAGGTATAAATTGGATATAACTATGATGGATAAACAACCATGTTGGTTTAATGTTTTATAAGACTACATAAATAACGTAACCTTACCATACAAATAACAAACTGATTAATATATAAACAATAATTGCTTGCTTAGGGAGTTGAACAGTATTAAGACATTATATCATATACAAACTACTGTTAAATTATGACATACACTATTAGTTAATTTATAATCAGATGTACTGATTTAATATTATTCAAAAAGACTTAATTCCTGACATGATTAGAATGAAATTATTTTATTTCAGATTCTACAATATTTTGAAGATACATAATTAGAATGGAATAGATGAAAAGTAAATTTAATCAATGAAAAAAGATTCAATAAAATCGACAAAGAAATACGTGTCACGTAATATACACACACAAAAATATACTTGGTATCCCTTTTTCATTATAGTGAATATGAATTTTAAAGGTCTGATAAAATCCATTATAAATGTCGTCCCGTAATATAAGGCTCGATTCTCTGTCGAAAAAGATATTATTTCACAAAAAAAAATATCAACTTCAATCATGGCAAAACTAAATATTTTTATTTAAAAACCAAACTATTGAAGCGATTTTGATGAATTATTTATGAGATCAATTTGAAAGTATATGCTTTCGAATAAAGAATTTTCCCAATCGGTTTATACCGCCTCTCTTTTTGAGTTTGAAGTTGGTTGAAAAAAGAAAATAGATAACAGTAAAATACTCACTAATAGACTGACGTAGCCATGTATATTATTGTATGCAAGAATCAAATCTCTAAACTCTCCGCTACAATATTCCAACCTGTCACACTCTTTGATAATGGAAATGTTATATTTATTCCTCCAATCGTCTAATGCTTTTAGGACATCGCCGATACTCGCACTTTGATTGTACTCTCTGTGTTTAAGCAACGTAAAAACTCTAAAGTCGTCCAAAAAGTCGTAAGAGAAATTCGAGCCATACGTCGTATTGGTTATATTGAATCGGTTACCGTCGTCCGCTAGCATTGTGACTCTCTTGGTATGATCTATTGTTCATCACTTAACTATAGTCACAGTGGCCAGCGCCGTATGTCGCAGTAAATACACCTCAGATAGGTTAGTTGTAAGAAAAATCCAATTCCTGTGCTCATCGTGTCCGTATGATTGTACCTGTAACAATTAATTTAAGGTTAATGTTATAAGGTAAATACAATAAATTCTTTGAAATGGATAATATATCTTCTAATAAGATTCAATTTTTCCATCTTAAAACAAAAGTATTTGAAGTCCTTGAATACTGGAATTAAATTGGATATACGAGTCTATAAACTTATACTGTTTGCATTATTAAGACGTTTAAGCAAATATAAAGATAACTCTCTATAACTATGTTAATTAATAGTCATTAAACTGTACAGACAGAGATCAAACTTATGATAATAATCACAATGAGACTCAATAGTAAAATAAATTTATTTTCTAACTTAATGTATACCACTGTACGCCATCGGCTATACTAGTTTAGACTTCAAGATATAGGTATTAATATAGAAATTACAAAATTTGGTATCAGATAAACTTAAATACCAATTTACGTACTTAGGTAACATTTTAAAAATAAACTATAAACTTCCATTACGTTCAGCTTTTGTTTCTTTTTTTTTATTACGCTAATTAACGCTGATAAACAATGGTGCGTCTAAAATTAAAACATTTAAAGGTACATGTGAATATAAAACCTACATGTTTTATTAGTTTTTATGTTCTAAAATAGTTTTTATGGAAAAACATTACGATTTTATGTTGCTAGTACTACTAATTACGTAGCTACTGTATTGTTGGCATAATTACGAGTAGCATGTACAATATGCGTCACATTTGATATTAAAATTCCATCGATGCTTACATAAAATATGACTCTTTCTAGGTACTGATTTGTCTTATACATATTTCTAAGAAAATTTTCTTATTTATAATGAAAACATTTTTTACGATACTAGCAGCATTTCTTCTTTACATTATATAATTAAATGGTGCTATCTATCTCTTGAGGCACTAGAAGTCATTATAATTCGAATATCTATAAAAAATGTTCTTCTAACCTTTAAAAAACAACCCGAAAAATACCAGTTAGTTTCTTTCATACTCGAATCTCTACTACTTTTCAAAAATATCACAAAAAATCAGTTTATATTTGCCGTATAAAAGGTTACGAAATTTAATTTAATTAATAATGTAACAGTTAAATTAATTAGATTTAATATTTAAGACTTCACATAATTCATAATTTCCAATGAATTCTATTGAACTAATCGAAACGATAAGCCTTATCCAATTTCTGAATTTATGCAAAAGTACTTGCCTACTTTGAGCACATATTTATTTTCTAATAGGTATAATAAAAATTTAAGTTGTAAAATAGGTAATATATAAACGTAATATATTATTAAATAAAATGTTAAAAATTATGATATGTTAACGATTCCCCAGTTATGTTACCAAACGAATAAAACAAGCCAAATGATGCTCGATGACATAGTACGTATATATTATTTTAATCTCCCATTTAATGTAAAATAATGTGCGCTTATAATAAATACATCAACTGTTTGAAAGGGTGGTAAAGCCTAGCCGACACTCGGTTATTAAACTCAATAACGAAAATGCTACATTTACATAACCTATTTTTAGTGAACCAATCTTTTCCTTCTACTCTATACACAAAGTGACTGGCAGTTTACTAAATTAAACTTCTGCGTTGCCAGAATTACTCCCCTAATAAAATGTATTGATCAGGAAATGATTCCGGTTGTACACATGGGACAACAAATAAATTTCAACTAGTATACATTTGTACTAGTAGTTACCTAACCTCATTATAGGAATACACAGGAATACCAGCGGAAGACTTTGTACAAAAGTCCTTTGCTCCAATGTAGATAGACTAAATTAGAGACCTGGACATCTGAAAATAGGCCTCCGAAGTACGTCGTGTGTTTTTTAGTAAGTGACCCACACACTCCTCTTGCTCTACCTCTGGCAATTGGGACGATCTTTTGAAAATTTCCCATAAGATAAAAAGAAACAAAAATGTAGGTACTCTTTACTAAAATCGGTTAAACAAATTATGAGATAACTTGTCGAATTATTAAATCGCGTCGAATGTAGAGATATTTGCTAACGTTATTGTAAATGTTAGGTATTTGACTTGCCAGCACTTACACTGAGCATATTGGAATCCAACATAACTGAAACGAACATATCCTTCATGTCTCAAACTGTTAATATCATTCGATATATTGATTTCAAATACTAGAAATAATATCAAGGTCAAATGCATTCGACGCAAGAGAACATGATATATGCGGAATCTTGCATTTTCAGCATATTGGGTTCTACAAGTATCTACTACTCCGTATATACGAGTTGTATTATATTGTAAGCATGTCTCATTGTTATAAAAAATAGACTATTTTTTATCTCGATAGTAAGATTGTGATCCACAAAAAAACCTACTTCAATTCTGTCAAAACCAGTTAGTTATTTTAATTTCAAAACCAAACTACTAAAGCAATTTTAATAAAATTTCTATCGGACCAATCTGTAAGTATATCCTTTCAATGAAGTACGTCAGTTATAAATCGATACGGAAAATTCTTCTTTATCCAAAAGAATGTACTTAGAGATTAGTACCAGAATTTTTTTATTAAGATTGGTTCGATAGTTTAGTTTTGAAATCAAAGTAACTGGTTTTGCTACAATTGAAAATGTTTTTTTTTTTTTTTATTGTGGAATACAATCTTTAATTAAATGACAAAACTTTATTAAAAATGAAACAGTTATTATATTCAACCCCGTAAAGGTCAATGTACAGTACATATAACTGAATACTGAAACGAGAATAGATTAACGTATGCAAATGATTATACAAAACACACATTATATAGTCAATGGGCGATTGTGAACGACGACACTAGTCCACATTATATACTGATCGTCTAGAAATATTTTAATCCCTATTTGACTAGAAACTTTGAATATTGAACCTTATAACCTTTTTTTACATGGGCCTATCGCAACCTTAATCTATATAAGTTATCTAATAACTTAATTCAAACATCCATTATGTAATTAATTGAGTATTACATTTTTTAAATTTTACATGCATTATTATAACAAAATACCTGGTCTTTAAATCTCTATTATTAACATGTTTATACTTTATGTTAACTTTAACATTTTATGTTTCTTGCAAATAAATACTCATTTAATTTCATTTTAGTTAGTTTAGTTAAAAAAACCATTGCTACTTTTTAGTCTCTGTTTGAATACAAAATATTATGTGTGCTTTTTATTTGTTTTAATATATCAAAGATGGTCATCAATATTATGCGACAAATATCTATAGATACATAGTTTTGAAAATATAAATAAAAGACTTTTTTCCACGTATATGTGTCTAAATCTGATTTATTAACAATATTTATAACGTCGCACAAACTTTGTAAAATGATATATTAGTTTTACAAAGTTTTAGTGTCCAATTCCCATAGCGAAAATCCCAACAATACTGTAGAAACATTTTTAATAGAATATCTACTCGAACTTCTACTAAAAATGTCGTAACTTCAGAATGCAACTTTATGTAGGACATCGATTGACCTACATTTTAACGTCGATATTTGATTTTCAAGTGCTTTAGACTCAGAATTTTGAAACAATTAGAATTTTGGTGGAATTTTTGTTCACAGCACTTACTCCATCTCACATTAAGGACACTGGTTCAGGACTCTCAAAATATATCTTGTCGTTACCGATTTTAAGTTACTTATATACATAAATAAAATAGTAAATTATTTAATAATTATTAATTAATTAATTATTATTAAATTAGTTATTATTAATAATTAATAAATAAAGTAATAATTAATCTCTAGACTTGCCCCAAAATACACTATGATTCGCGAATATTTGTACTATTTTCCAAATATTGCGCAGGTCGTTGTGATTAATCTCGCAATAGTTCAATTCACACACAACCGTGTGCATTAGATAGCAGGAGTGTCCATAGTTATGCATTTACAGGGACCGACATATATATAACTATAATTTATGTCTATTGTCGTTAAATGAATGTAGAGCTCCGAAAGTATTTAAAAAATTGTAGATAAACTAAACAACAAAGTACTATGGACATGTTCTGTTTTAATCCGACTAGTAAACCAGCAAACTCAATATTGATATTATCAAAGATTTTAAAATTAAAAATGCTTCATTAGTATCAATTGAATAAAATTTTGTAATATGACATAAATAGATATTTAAATAATAATTTTAAAAAGAATAATCAAGACAGCTTATTACAGAAAATTAAATTAATCTATTTGAGATTGCTTGACGACAGAGTATTCTTGGTTCAAGGACTGAATTAATTATAAGGATTATAAGTTCCTAATAGGTATTAAGCTTTAACAAATCAAACTTTGTAAATAAGTTTTGTTAAGCGAGAACACTGTCATCTAATTTAAAATTACGGAAGGTCGTGATCTTTAAATAACTAGGATGTAGGTGGTGATAGCATTGTATATCTAATATTTATTTATGATTAGTACTTAATTAGCTCACGCACTCTCCGGTTTCTCATAAACTTTAATGAGAAAATAAGTAAGTATTTTTTGTAATTACATATTATAGACAAAACTTATGAATAATTAATAATACGGTTATAAATTCACAATTTGATTAAAGTTGATTACATATTTTAAATTGTACTATTGGGCATTAGCAAACTGTGTTATGGTCAGTCAATTATTAATGTTTTTAATACAATCGAAATAATGTTGCATTCTATGACTCGAATATGACCATGTGAATAAGGAACGCACCGTACCCTATAGTATGTATGTACATGTGCATGCACAGACGTCATCTGTTTATATATAATAGTAGTAGGAGATATTCACATCTCCTGTATTTTTTGTATGTATATATTAAACTACGTCATTACCAGTTTTGAAACGATTTTATTAGTCTTTTTTGAAATTCATCAGGTTTACTCCTGTACCTACTGATCCTATGTTACTTAGATAGTCATGTACGTAGATACGTAGAATATTCTAGAACTATTCCTATAATATTCCTTTGAATTGAATATTCCATTGGATCGTGAC